ATTTGGACAGATCCCTGCTATGTTGCATGATTAGTTCTAGTCCATGGTTAGCTGTTGGAATGGAGGGGCGGCTGTGGCTGATTGTGCTGCTGAAGGGAGTGCTTGCCGAAAAGTATGAAAGTTGAAACGAGACAGACTGTCAGCTGCTATGTTACTAATGCCCAGTACATAAAAGCAGACCAAGTAGAAATTGTGACATGCTGCTAACCACGTGAGTTTCCTGAGAAATCTCATGATTGTTAGGGATGATGAACGGCCTTTGTTAATGATGTGACATGTGGCTTGGTTGTCTGTGTGGCAACTGACTGACAAGCCTGACCATAAATGTCCCCACGCCACAGCAACTGCAACAATGGGGTAAATCTCAAAAAGAGCTGAAGTTGTAAAAAAGCCTTCTAAGTCATAGACTTCTTCAGGCCACTTACCCCAAAGCCATTCATTCCCAAAGATCGCTGCGAAACCTGTGGTAGATGCCGCGTCTGACCATATGGTTGGAGATATGTCAGACAATTCTGGGAGGAACAAGCTTTTACCATTCCAGGTGGTCAAGAATTCTTTCCACATGTGCAGGTCTGCCGTGGCGTGCGCATCCAAGGACAGTCTATAGTTGTTGTGTTGGAAATGTGGAAAAAGACAGAGAAGTCTAGATATGAAAGCACACCCTTGAGGGATGATGCGCATGGCAAAGTTCAAGGAACCTATGAGAGATTGAAGTTCCTTGAGTTTGCAATTACCCAGCAAGATGTAATAGTTGATGCTGTTGAAGATGTTTGTAATTTTTTCGAGTGGTAAACTAGCTTGCATAGAGGCAGAGTCTAGTTGTATACCCAGAAATGTAATGATTGTGTCTGGACCTTCGGTTTTCTTAGGGGATGCTGGGACTCCCAGGTAGTCAAACATACTAATGGTTTCTTTGAGACTTCTGGGGGGAAAGGAGTTCTCTTTGATCAGCAAGAAATCATCCAGATAATGGATGACTATGGGGCATCTGGAAATGTTAAGTAACAACCAGCAAAGTGATTCTGCAAAAGTGTCAAAGATTTTTGGGCTACTTTTTGACCCAAAGGTTAAGCAGGAGGAAAAATAATAGTTGATGCCTTGCAAGTGCCAGAGTGTAGGGTGGATAGGTAGTAGTTTAAAGGCATTTGTAATGTCTGTCTTACTTAGCCAAGCTCTGATCCCTGCTTGCGTGATGGCTGTGATGGCATGATCTATAGTGGTATATTGTAGGGAAAACTCTTTGGAGGGAATGAGGGCGTTAAGACTTGGGGTAGAAGAGGTATGAGGGGCTGACAGATCTATGATGAGTCTCTGCTTAAGGGAAGATTTCCCTGTGACTATGGGATTTGTGCGCCATGCCGTAAAAGGTGGGGTTTTAAAAGGCCCGAACAAAAACCTCAAACATTCAAGATGGCCTGTGGGCATATGTATAATGCCTGTATGGAACCCCTCTGAGAAACCAGAGATGAGAAGATCTCCCATATGTCTGGAGGGGTGATTGGTCAGTAGTGCTGAGAAAACATGAATGTTAACAGACGTTAGGTATGGTTCAGGGTACATTTTATTTGGACACATGGTTTTCGCATGTGCCCTGAAACAATGTGAACAAATATGCAATAACCTGCATGCACTAAAGCTACATGTGCCCACATTGAAATTATTGCACACCTGTGATTTACCAAAGAAAATGATTTCTCACAACCCATTTTACCTTAATTATGTTTGGCTGTTTTGACCTGTAGAGGTCAGTGGAGATGATGTTTGTAGGATCTCCATAAGTATGTACTTGCCGACCTGTAGGTGGCAGTGTTTGAGTTGTTTCCGGTTTAACCTGGCATCTTTGGATCTGACCACCATATATAAGTCTTATTTTCAACCACATCCTGGGAGGCAATTAGTAGGGATGCTAGGTTGACATCTTTGCCTTCCAGAATGTCTCTCTTAATGTGGGCTGGGATTGTGTGTGCAGGATCAACGTCTTGATAATCTGAAGAGGTAATAGTACCCATAGCCCATGGTTCGGTTGGTGCCTGTTGAGCGGTATCAGGAAGGCCAGCCTTGGTGAGGGCTGTGGTGACCACCTCGAGGTTAACCAGTCTGTCGTTAAAATTGCCCATAGAGTTCATGAGCGAGGCCAGCATAGCCTGGATGTCACCCGAGCTGGTGTTGCTGGAGACTTCCCCTGCTGGCGGTTGTAGTGCTTAGGAGTTTGAATAGCTCCGCTTTCCTTGCTGTTGCAGGGTACGGGATTTGTCGCCTCCTTAGTTCGGTGGTGATGCGTGGGATCGTCCAGGATCTGATTGATGCTGGACTGGCAACATCTCCCCTACGAGAAGGTGTCTCGACCCTAGCTGGGGTGCCATGAAGAGATAGCTCTTCATCACCTTCATGAGACATACTTAAATAAATAAAAGATAAAATTATTATTTGAACCAAGTAGTTTAGTACTGGCTTGCTAGCTATGCCGTAAGGCAAAACCATTATGCTTATTGTTTTGGTGACAGATGAGGCGCTGCTAGTTGCCAAGTGGCTTGAGAGGCTCTATCTATGCTAGGCGCGAGAGGATTTTTGTGGCCACCGAATGTTGTGGCAGGATGTTGGCCTCTCGGTGACTCTAACAAGAAAAATAGGAAGGGGTGTGACAGATGAGGCCCTCTCTATGATACGTGCGAGACGGCTAGCTCACGTGTTGCCCGAGGGGTATATGCCTCCGAGTTTGAGGCAGGGTGTTGGCCTCATGGGACCACTAATCCGAAGCATAGTGCAGAGAAAGAGGAAAATTACCTATTGGCCCCTATGACCCTAATTGCCAGTACTTATGTCTATTCTGTGGGAGATTTTAGTTATGGATATACTGTAAGCAGGTGTACGTACCTGGAAGTATAGTTTAGTAACCTGATAATCCATATAGGTAGCAGTAGTACCTGTAACTAAATAGATGGAAACCTTATGAAAATAATGACAAATGGCACAACCCATTTTACCTTAATTATATTTGGCTGTTTTGACCTGTAGAGGTCAGTGGAGATGATGTTTGTAGGATCTCCATAAGTATGTACTTGCCGACTTGTAGGTGGCAGTGTTTGAGTTGTAGCATGGTGGATGTAATAATATGTAGCGTGAGTTCTAAGTGTTTAAATTTATGTGATGTGCCGTACTTGATTAATCATGGAGTATCAGTAGGGTATGTACTATTATGGGGAGGAATGTATTTTTAATGGTTATTGTAGTATTTATGATACAATAATTGCATGGTATTTATGTGTAATAACTGGTTTACATGTTATAATATATATCTGAATCCGTATACATGTTAACAATACTTATATTGTTTTGTGTTCATTTATGGGGTTTAGTGTTTGTAAAATTCCCCTGGTGACCATATATGAAGTAGTCTGTAGGTGGCAGTGTAGGTAGAGATCATGTATAGATGTCAGTGGAGAGTTTGTAATATTTTATTAATGGTAATGTACTTGACCTGTAGGAGGCAGTGTAGAGCCACCGTTATAATGTGTATTGTAAAGTAAGACATTTATAATTAACACATATCCATGGAAATAACCAGTAGTTAATACCGAAAAGACAATAAGGTTAAATCCCCCAAAACTGCATGTTCGTGCGTTTAACCGCACGAACTGTGTCTGTAGTGAATGAAAGATTAGTATTAATATATCTTGTTCGAGCTGTGTAAACCACACGAACCGGCCATAGCTATCTAATAAGAGACTAAAATTGTAGAACCGGAACATGTGTATCTAATCTGTTCGTGCATTTGAAGTGCACGAACCGAGATATTTTATACGAATGAGTGACAGTGAAATGTCCGAACGGGGAAACACATAGTAATACTATCCAGAAAAGCCAGAACGGGGAGAACATAGCGTGAGATATGCCTGAAATGGCCGTGTAAACGAACGGCTGAAAACGAACAAGATAGACTGAATAGGCAGTGTAGCATGAAATCGCCGAACGTAACCGTAAAGTGAGGACCTGACACGTGAATGATGCCGTGGGACTGTTGCCTGGCATAACGGGTAGGTCAACTTATGGTTTGTGAGTCACTAGGACATGATCTGCGGCGATGAAAGAAGCAAGAAACTGGTCGGACAGAAAAAGCCTGCAGCTGGATTTCTGGGCACAGCTCAGCATGGAAGACCTTGTGAGAAAACAGAAGTATTTCAAAATGGCGACTGGATGACCCAGAAATTCATTCAGATGCTGACCTTGATCGGTATGGAGTCAGGTAAGGGGTGTACCTTATATAGGGGAGTGATTTAATTTATGCCCCTCCCACAATTACAGGCCAAACGGCCTTAATACATATAAATAAAAATAATAAAAAATATAAATATAGCCATATACATAATTACATAACTAATTTCATAAATATACATGTAGACTTTAAATATATAAACATGTATATATATTTAAATTCTACGTGCATATTTATGTAATATTTTTACATAATTAAGTAATTTTATTAATTGCAAATTGAGGGACCTGCCTGACAACCCAGGAAGAAAGTCCAGAGAATTTAATTTCATAGTACTATATTCAACCCTGTAACTTTACAAGGCACCCTGAAACCTGTGCATGGGGAAGACTATTTTACACAGGAGACTTTGATGAACATAAATATTAAAACTGTAAAACATATCACAATGATGATATTGACAGCAAAAGTGACTTTTTTTATTTTTCACACACAAACGGTACTTTCACTGATGATATTGTTGTGATACGGTTTACTGTTCTGAAACACTAATATTTGTGTTCAGCAAAGTCTGCCAAGTATAACAGTACCCCCCATGTACTGGTTTTATAGTGTTTTTGAATGTTACAGGGTCATATTACTTGCCTATATCACTTTTTTCATTGAAATATGCCAGATTGGTTATGTTGCCTTTGAGTATGGTAGCCCAGGAATGAGAATTACCCCCATGATGGCATACCATTTGCAAAAGTAGACAAACAAAGGTATTGAAAATGGGGTATGTCTAGTCATCTTTAGTAGCCACTTAGTCACAAACACGGGCCAAAGTTAGCGTTCATATTTGTTTTTTGCATTTTTTACACAAAAACAAATATAAACACAAACTTTGGCCAGTGTTTGTGACTAAGTGGCTACTAAAAAAGACGGGACTTGTTTAAGTTTTGTTTTGATCACAACTTGGCTCAGTCCTTAAGGGGTTAAAGAACTTGAAAAGATTGTTGTTAAACCAAGTATGATGTAGATGCTAATTGGCCACAAATGTAAAACAAAAGACAAAAAATTAAAAGGTAAAAGACAATAGTTTAAAGCAGCAGAAATACATGTAGCAGAGGTCATGGAAATGTTTTCATACATGGGAAATGTACAGTCATTAAAACATATTAGTGCCAGCATTAAAAAGCACCTTCAACACTATTTATAGAAGTTGACTTCACAGATGCCTATCTGTCTCTCCTATAGAATGTATTACAGTGTATTAATATTGTCTGACTGAGCTGACATTCTTACTGTCAACTTTGTTCACACCTCAGTGGAAAAAAAGCAGATCCAATAACACAATATTGGAATCAAGCCCGGATTTAACTTTTTAAGGTCAAATCTGTAAATAGGAACTAAGCGATCAGCTATAACATTGTAACAGTGAATACAATTTCCATTTATTAATTGCATTGTTGATATTTTTCTCAAACTAGTACTAAGACTCTTCATAGGGCATTTATTTACAATGATCCTCTGCTCACCAACTACACCAGAAGGACCTGCCAGAAATCAGATCTTTTGACATTGCAGCAGATTTGGGCACTATATGGTCATCTACTGTAGCTGAATCTCCATTAGTATTACCTAAGTAAGTTAAAAAGAAAAAAAAAATGTCGGCATTCAGTTTAAAATGAGTTTTGACTCGTTCAAATTTTGGGCAATCTGCAATTCATACTCTGAACTCTGAAACACTACATTGACAAATAACAAAAAAAAAATGAATGGACAATGAACAGAATCATTGTGTTTGTTTTGTAATTCAGAGATGCATCTGTAGCACCCAAAAACTATAGATGGTCGATGGTCACAGATCAAGTGAGAAGTAACCAATATTGGGGGAAAAGGAGAAGCAGTTAAACAATCCATATTTCTATATTATATAGTTAATAAATATAATATATAAATATAGATTTGTTGTACTGCTCTTTGTTTTTTTTCCTTGTTATTTCTGAGCCAACTTTACTCTAACTATCACCCTATCCAAGCTTCAAATCCGTGTTCTATCACAGCACTAACCCTAATCTAACCACAATCCTATTCCTAATCCTAATCCTGGACCTAGCTATAGTAATAATCACAAGTCTAACCCAACCTTTTAAGGAATGAACAGTGACTGGTTACTCCCTATTTTATTGATAATAGAAAAAATAAAACAGCCAAAAAATTATGCCTTTAGCTATTTGATCAGACATTACACCAATTAGAATTAGGCCATGTGAACTAAAATTCATTTTATTATGTTGATCTAGTAAGTCTCATTATTTAGTAAAGCTATTTTATAAATTATAACCATATCATTTCGTATCAAACATTATTTTCTAGCTGGCAATTAAGAAATATCATGTTACAAAGAACTGACATATTTAAAGTCTATGCAATTCTCAGTAATTACAGGTTGAGTGATAACTTTGCAGTGCGGAGCAGACACATTTTCACCTAATCCTGTTTGTTTACATAATATATCAACAAATATTTTCCCTTCAGGAAACACATTTTGAAAAATAAAGATCAGCCTCATATGGTGTATTTGCAAAACCAACTTCTCAAACAGGATTTCTTTATTTATTTTAACAACTGTCATATAACGAGTTCAACCGACTTAATCACCTTCAATTAGTGTCACGCATATTACTATTTGATTGTAGTGTGCACCACATAATTCACATAATTAAATTTTTCATATGAACAGTTTTTCTGACTTAACACATTTAGTTCATGCACTTAACATAGTGTCATAGATTTAGGTTGGAAAGTATGTTGATAATGTAAAATGTATTTAAGCAGATAAACCACTTCTCTACCAAGATTTTTTTTTATTTTTTGGTATGACTATGATACATGATTATAATGATAAAAACGAAATTGCATTACCTTTTATTGTTATTTGAACATTTTAACCATTTAACAACCATTTGACAGTCTACACCATCCTGCAGTGCAGTCAGGGTTTTAATGCCCAGAGATGGCATAGTTAGTGGCCCAAGACTGACCGATGAGTGTTGCTCATACCTCTTTAAATATCGAGGCTGGCTGATCTCACTCAGTGGCAGTATTTCTATCACTGCTCCCATCCCCTAGCAGAAAAAAAGAGGATCCCTCTATTAGTTGGGGCCAAAATGAGTGGCCCCAAACTGGCATGAGAGCTATAAATGGCTCACATAACTCTCTGTACTGTGTGAGCTAAGAAATCCTTCTGCTGATGTCAGTACTAAGCAGAGGGAATCCCTTGAGAAGTCGTAATAGAGGGTGGAATTAGGAATAGGATTAGAGGGTGGGGTTAGGGACATTATTAGGGGTAGCTTAGGGGCAGGTGTAGTGTAAAAGTTTTAAAAGTAAGATAACATTGTACTCAAGGACAGTGGCATAATACAAATATGTGATGTTTGCAGTAGTGGGACACCTGTGGTCTGTGAATTTCCCCAAAATCTGTGGGAAAAAAACACAAAACAATAACTATTTTGACCTGGGTTTGTGATAAAATGGTTCCATGAAAAGTCTTAAAATGCTCTTAGTTGCATAGCCTGATGGATGTACTTTCGGCAAATATATATTCTTTTGTGTCACGGTTTTGGATTCAGTGCCAAATTTTGCACAGTTTTAGCTTAAAACCATAATTCAATCCTTGCGTATTTGCTTTATAACTTCTAAAAATGTATTGAAATCCTAGACATATTATCCATTTTAATAATCAGAATTCATTAATTTATTTTGAGTTAGTTTTATTAATTTGCACCTGGTGTGTAGAAATTATGGCTTTCATGCCCCAAATAGTTTCAGGGATTTAGGCTGTGCGGCCGGTCTAGTTCACATAGTTCAAATGCAGTTAGAATGCACGAACGGCCCATGTTAAAGTGGAGTTCGAATTGTCGAACACCGTTCGACTCCCGCCGAAGCTTCAAAGAAGGTAAAGTTCAGCAGTGTTCATGCCGTCGCGTGTCCGATTTGAGTTCCATGAACTCGACGGCAAAACACTGATGACCACGTTCAACTAAACAAGATGGCCGCCGCCACGTGTTCAACTATACAAATGGTGACCACGCAGCCATTTGTCAATTAACTTGTGGTAAACCACCAGCCTGGAAGGTAAATTGGCTGCACATTACACTTGTGTGTGGTCCGGCTGTTCAGTCCGGTAGTTTGTTCGGTAAATCCCATTTACCGTACCACATAGTAAAAAGGCACAAACAAGCCTTTTTACAGTGAGAAAACAAAGTTTTAGCATATGGGCCATAATCCTGAGGCAAAAGGCTGGCAAACAGGCCCCTCCAAAACCCAGTGGTGAGGTTATTTTCGCCACAATGGGTAGCAAAAGAAAGCCCTATTTCTCCATTGAAAATGGTTTATAATATGTATGTGCACACTTAAACAGAAAGTGGGAAATTGGGGCAAAAGTGTCAAAAAGGCCTTGGATACAAATACTTTGCAGCTCAAAAAATCCTTGGTCTTTAAGGGGTTAGATTATACACAGTGTTCCTTTTTATGTCATTTTTATAATATTTTTTTTTAATCTTATAAAGCAGTGGTTCCCAAACTATTCCTCAAGGCACCCCTACCACTCTAGGATTTAGTGATTACCCAGTTGTGTTTAAGGTGTTTTTAGGAAAAAACAAACCTTAGACACAACTGGGTAATCCCTAAATCCTAGACTGGTAAGGGTGCATTAAGGACTGGTTTGGGGACCACTGCTATAAAGTAATCATGGGATGTGGTAAAATATCTGACAATACATCAGACAGGCCCTGAAATATACTGTAGAATTTAAAATATATATTTTATTATATACAGTAGATTGAAAAATAATTGCTGACATTTTTCTTGCAACAATTTATTGCAGTTTGATATTGTTTTAATATTGTTTCTACAGCTTTAATCCAGTAGTGACTGAGGCTTTTTCAAGATTGCATGAATTCATGACTGAGGCCTTTTTAATACTTCTGCTCTGTGTTTTTTCCATCGTGCTTTTCCATTTTTATGATGAGTGCATCCATATATACACTGCTCAAAAAAATAAAGAAAACAAACAATACAATGTAACTCCAAGTCAATCACACTTCTGTGAAATCAAACTGTTCACTTAGGAAGCAACACTGAGTGACAATCAATTTCACATGCTGTTGTGCAAATGGGATAGACAACAGGTGGAAATTATAAGCAATTAGCAAGACACCCCCAATAAAGGAGTGGTTCTGCAGGTGGTGACCACAGACCACTTTTCAGTTCCTATTCTTCCTGGCTGATGTTTTGGTCACTTTTGAATGCTGGTGGTGCTTTCACTCTAGTGGTAGCATGAGAAGGAGTCTACAACCCACACAAGTGGCTCAGGTAGTGCAGCTCATCCAGGATGGCACATCAATGCGAGCTGTGGCAAGAAGGTTTGCTGTGTCTGTCAGCGTAGTGTCCAGAGCAAGGAGGCGCTACCAGGAGACAGACCAGTACATCAGGAGACGTGGAGGAGGCCCTAGAAGGGCAACAACCTAGCAGCAGGACGGCTACCTGCGCCTTTGTGCAAGGAGGAACAAGAGGAGTACTGCCAAAGCCCTGCAAAATGACCTTCATCAGGCCATAAATGTGCATGTGTCTACTTAAATGGTCAGAAACAGACTCCATGAGAGTGGTGCTTACAGCCCAACACCGTGCAGGACATTTGCCAGAGAACACCAAGATTGGCAAATTCGCCACTGGCGCCCTGTGCTCTTCGCAGATGAAAGCAGGTTCACACTGAGCACATGTGACAGACGTGACAGAGTCTGGAGACGCCGTGGGGATCGTTCTGCTGCCTGCAACGTCCTCCAGCATGACAGGTTTGGCAGTGGGTCAGTAATGGTGTGGGGTGGCATTTCTTTGGGTGCCGCACAGCCCTCCATGTGCTCGCCAGAGGTAGCCTGA